ACAATATATATATATATATATATACTTTGTATTTTACATTAGGATGTAATTCCTGATAAATTAAAAGTGTCAGTTTTTGAGGTTATATTGTGGTAAGTAATTTCTTTTAACAAAAAAAAAATCAAACACCAAAATGAATAACTAATATACTTAGCAAGTGGTTAGAATCTGGGTTCGATGTGTTTTATTCTCCAACGCAGTGCCAATTTGGGAAACAAAATCATTTCCTTCCACCATAAACATTTTAGCGTAAAATTTGTAAATAAGATTAATTTTGACGCATTTAAATTACATTCAGGTGATTCAACAGTTCAAACTTTAATTTACTCAACTTTAAAACAAATAAACAAACAAATCCTTTTGCCACAAGAGTAGAACTTGAAGTATAAGCTACAACCGTGTCAGACCTTAGGATCCTGCAATTTTTTTACAACTCAAGTATGCCGTAAATTGATCGACGACTTCAATCTAAGTAAACTCTGATATATAATGAGACCCAAGTAAATGTAAAAATCAGTATCTGAAAGCCTAGTACACCTTAAAAAAGAATCATTTTGCTGAGTATATTTCTTGCAAAAGAATAAAGCAACCTGCAGCCGGTTAACATCAATAACAGAATCATCTTAAATTTTAATTTTTGATATTAGACATTTGGGGTCGGACTGCCTCAAAATGTAGTCCAGACGCAGAAAACTAAGCTGCTAAACAAAGCTAACAGCGACAGAAATATACAAAATTCTTGGACGGGGATTTTATGTATATTGACTTCTAATTTGTGTTGTCTGCTTCAAAAGAACAATCATGTACAAGACGATTTTCTAACCGTCTCTTCAATTACAGCCATCCAATCCAAACCAATGATTTAAGTTGTTGATTTACACAAAACTTAGAATTGCAAGTCATGAGATAGGGTTATCTCTAATCTTTCATGTAACCTGATATAAAAGTTCAATTTCAAGAGCTGTCTCACTAATCCTTATGATTCTCAAAACAACATGAAGTGATAGTTGTAGTTCATACCTACTAACTGTCATTCTTCCACTTTGATTCACTGAGAATTTTGTAACTAATGCTTTCAGATGAAGCATACAAGCACCTCATGAAATCACTAAACAAGAACAAAAATTGTGATAGCATCAAAAGAGTTGAAAAGAACTTCACGATCAAAGTAATTTATTTTTAACAAACAAGTTAATAGCACCAAAAGAAAACCATGAAGAAAGTCTTCCACAAGCTAGGCATACCTGTGCGCCAGGTATGCATGAGAAAAATTGAAGTTAGCTTTTATGTAAAAGACAAAAAGCAAGGTTGGAATGTACATCAATATGGCTAAGAGTTTCTAATTTATATTTATACCGACCAATCCTGTTGCTTCAATTGGGACATAACTGAAGCTCAGTAATTTGCAAATATAGAATGCACGAAAGAACAATTTCCAAGATGTTTAAAATATCAGGTCATTACTTTACCAAATATGAACCATATTATTAAAGATACTGAATGCTGCAAAAGAATTGAATATATAGGTTTATATTCACGTTTTGTTACTGTGTGTTTAATGAAGTAATTGTTAAGGCACCTTGGAGATTAGCCGCATGGACCTTCTAGGCTGGACTGTCATAGCATTCTTCATGCTTCTTAAGAACATCGCAACAGGTTTATCGCTGGAACTTTTAGCCTCAGAGTGTATGTGTTTCCTCTTTTGGCGAAGTTTCACTCCAGATTTCTGATCACTACACTCTTGACTAGACTTCTTAGGCGGGTCATCAAATTGGGAGTATCTGGAAGAAGCACAGTATGAATATGCTCAAATCAGTTGTATAAAAAATTAAATAACTTTGAAAAATGTTACTGAGAGGAGTAATTACTCTGAACTCTCCCTTCCATTCACATTTTTGCCCACCACCTCCTGCAATTAACAGGGTGCTTTTTATACTTAACATAAGTGAATTCATAAAAGCAAAGATAAATATCAGTCACATGGAAGCCAAAAGCCAATATGCCTGTAAAGGATCCTCAGAACTGTTTAGATTGTCAATGCATGAAGTTTATATTCTCTTCCCTCACAGACCCTATACTTTATCCCCTTCTCCAACACACAAACATGAAAAGTCAAAAGTTGTCTTCACAGGTATCAGGTATGTTACAAAGGATTAAAAAAGTATTATGATAAAAATAGAGGATAAAATACAAATTATTAAAAGTTCTATTACATTAAGAAACAACTACCAAATAATGAGAAGACACAATACCACACAAAAACTGATCAAATTACAGTGAAAAAGATACCAATTTGAATAATAAGCTGAAATTTTTGAGAAATAGAAAGAGCTAGGCAACTGTACTTAGTAATAGTATATTATTAATATGAATCATGTAATGATGGGATTAATTTCACTTTTTTCACATATGTAAACCAAGAACCAAATAAGCCTTCCATCTGAAAAGAAAACAAATGAAAGAGTGTAC